GAACTCCTGAAACCTTTGTAATTTCTTAAGTGATAAGAGCATCTTTTGTTCTAATATTTAGTCTTTGAACTGGATCCTGACACAGAGCTCCTGAAATTCTTGTAATTTCCTGGGTGACAGGCATGTTGTCTGTTCTCATGAGATGACTCTGGGTGAGCTCTTAGAAGGACTAACAATGAAAGCTGGTCATAGAAAAGATCAGTCTGTGATTAGAGCGTGGCATTTCCAGCTTCACAGCCCATTTTCTTGAGAAGGGAAAGGATTGAAATGGATTTTTCCAAAAAGTGTCAGAAATTAAGTGTTTTGTATGAGTACTAAAGGAGACATTCAGGGAGAAGACTTGTATGAGGCAGAAACTGAGCTTTTCCTACTTTGAAGGGGAAGACCTGGAGGTGTTTCTAACTTAGTGAGGTTCCCTAGATCCGCAGCATCACCAGGAACCTTGTTAGAAATACTCATTCTTGAGAACCTGATATGCTGAATGAGAAATGCTGAATGGTGCCCAGAAATCTGCTTTAATGAGCCCTGTTCCAAAATTAATGGGAAGACACTGATTAATTCAGAGCATCAGATGACACAGGCCTCCATGCTGCAAAACCGGTGCTGGTGGTGGTGGTGGAGGGGGCACAGATGATACTGTGAAGGAGTTTCCCTGGAGTTTGGCTGACTTGGTGGCCCTGCAACCCCAAGTCTCCTACCCATGACAGGCATTACTAATCACTCCCAGGCCCCACTCATCCAGCCCCTGGCTCTCAGAATCCTCCTCTGCATGGGGCCTCAGACAACTCCGACTGCTTCCTCAGAGCTGACCTGTGAGATGCCCAGTATCTGCCGTCATTTACCCTGACCCCTCACTGAGATGAGGAGCTTGTCTGACAGAGACCTGGTGACACAGTTTTGGAGCCGACCTGATCAGTTCTTTATTGGGAAAGGGATGCAGTCTGTAATCCGACAGATCTTTGAACCCATAGAGATCTCAAGCTCAAGTCCTAGCCGATTTGCTGTGAGTTCATAGCTGCCCTGGAAAAACCCACGGTTTTGACATGTATACCAGCGCCAGTAGACCTGGATGATGCGAACAGCGTTGAGCAAACGGCAGTAACGGAGGCGTATGCGCCACATGCGGACATAGGACTGTAGCTTGACCACTGCCCAGTTTTGCCATGTGTTCTGCTGCAGCGCAGCCCACTGCTTGTTCTCCAGCAGCTCTGCCAGCTTCTGCTTCCACCACCACTGAATGATACACGCTCTGAGCGCCGCGTGCAGCAGCGTCCTGCGCACCAGGGCACCCCGCCACCAGGCTTGGATCTTTATTGCTTGCAGCTCTTTGTCAGGGGCCTGTAAGGAAAAAGTAGGGACAGTCAGGGGACATGCTAGACACACCTCAGTCCCGGAGTGAGCCAGGAAGGAGTTCTGATCCTTCATCAAGAATGGCCTCTTCCTCAGAAGTTCAAGAGCACTGGGTAGGCCCCTGGCTGGAGCCAGAAGACTAGATAGGTGTCCTGTCTCTGTCACTCTTGGTTAACAGACACACCAAGTGGAACTCTGAGTCTCAGGGACCTCATCTGAAACCTGGGGCACACCTGCCCTAGCTGTCACCTGGTCACGTGGACCTGGTTGGCCAGTCTACACAAGAACACCATGATCTATGGGCCGAAGGTTTATCACGTTCCTGGGCCTGAGCACCCACCTGGGATGCATATCACTTCCTTCAGCCCTCGCCCACAGGCTGGACAAGGGGCATCCTTTGCTCTCCTTTCATGCCTGACTCCAGCTCCAGTGCACACCCTGCGCTCCCCCTCTGTCAAGTCATAGTGTTAGAAGTCTGCCTGTGCCGCACAGTTTGGAGTCTTTCTCACTTACTGCTCACTTTCACTTCTTTTCGTTCTCACACCTTCAACTCCAGTTAACACATGTACACGCACTCAGGTAAACACCCCCCCCCACTCACAATTCTAGACTGTACTTGACCATGCATCCCCTAAACACAGCCCTCAGCACCCCCTCCCCAGCCTGGCATGGTCTGATTCCCACTTGTCAGGGTTTCTCCTCCCCACGACCAAGTCTCCGTGTCTCAGTCACACCCACCTTTCTCAGACCGATAGGGAACTAGGACGAAAGGATAACAAGGGTGAGTCAATTCCTATTCGTTCTAGGTCTAGATAGGATAACCTTTCATCCTGGTTGTCCTGGGACATTCTCAGTTGATGGTGGTTGTTCCTGAGCAATAATTCATAGCACTGTCTTTCACTCACGAATGTATCCTGCTTTGGGCGACAAATTCCCTGATCATCCCAAGCTATGGGCCACATGGAAGACAACCCGTCACTCCTGGGTGACCTGGATCAGACATGGTGCAGGTCAGGATCCCCCTCAACTTTGAGGGCCTCTAACAGCCTACCTTTGCTGTGGTGGGTGAAGATTGAGGCTTTTCTTTCTTTTTTTCCCCGTTGTTTTCAGTGTGGTTTTATCAAAATCTTTCGTTATGATTTCATCCGACTTGCCACCCTTCTGTAATCAGAGTTTAGAGGGGAAAAGTATGGGTAGGTTGTTCTCTATAAACCCTTTACCAAGTTCACTACATGCTCAACCTTCTGCCTTGCCTGGAGACCCTTAGATGTAGGACTCACATCCTTAGTTAACTGTGGAAATACACCTTCCCCTGCCTGCAGCTTTGGGTGGTCTGGCTCTCTCTTACACATCAAATGCCCATGACTTGGAAAAAGGTGGTTCAAATCCCTCAGGTCTGCAAGTCCCTAAATTTCCCATAGTCAGGGGCTATGCTTCTATTGCTCTTCAGATCTGTACTCTTCCTTGAGATCCATACGAGTTGATGTAGGTATCAGTAGTTCATTTCTTTTTATTGCTGATCAGTTTACCATGGTTTGAATGTACTACAGTTTGTTTTGCTGCTCATTCATTTAGCTGTTTGTGTTTCCAAGTTTTTGGCTATTATCCAGCTATGAAATTTTTGTACAAGTTTTTATTTGGACAAATGTTTTCAATTCTCTTGGGTATCTAAGGGTAGAAGTGCTGGGTTATATGGTAATTCTGTATTAAGTTTTTGAAAGACCATCCGGCTGTTTTCCACTGCAATTACCCCGTTTTACATTCCCATAGCATTGCATGAGAGAGAGTTTTTCCAATCTTCACCACCTGCTGTATTTTAGATATTCCAGTACTGCAGAGATAAAGCCAACAGCATTTCCTGATAGGTTGATATGGGCGGGAATGAATGGAGGTAAGTAAAACAGTATTGAGAGAGAAATTTCAATCTAACAGGCTGCGCGAATGGTCGAGGCATAACGAGAAGCAAGTTTTGGACAGAAACATGAGGTGTGGGGAGTGAGAGGTTTTGTTTCTGCTACATTATGTCTGAAAAACCAATTAGACATCACAGCAGGGTGTCAAGTGGTGTGTTGCACTTCGGGGTATGGAATGCCTAGGAGGTATCTAGAATGGAAATGTAGATTTGAATAAGGATAGAGCCAAATATTTAAGACCACATGACCAGATAGGAGTAAACATAAAGAGGAACAAAAAGAAGTTTGAGGATTGAGCTCCTCGTAGGCTGATCAGTGGAGAAGCCATTGATAAGAAAGAGCAGCTGGTGTAGAAAGGAGGAACAGGACACTGAAGGTGTTCCTGAATCCAAAAGGAGAATTTCAAGGAGAGAGTTTTCAGCTGTGCAATCTGATGCAGACAGGATGACAAATGAGAGCAGAGAATTGACCACTGGACTAGGCAGGTTAGTTGGTAATTTTAGAGTGTTTAATTTTTGTCATTTAATCAAACACTCAAAACATGGAGGCTTCAAACAACATTCGGTTCTGTGAAGTCACAGCTTGGGCTAGGCTCTTCTGGGTGATTGTTCTGCTTTCAGCAAGGCCCACTCAAATATATGTGGTCAGTTGGCAGGCGAACTGGGGGGCTGATGGTGTAGGATGGCCCCATCAGAGATGGCTCATCTCTGCCCCATGTGGTCTCTCATGCTACAGCAGTAATCGTCTGTGCATGTGGCAGATGGCTGTACAAGGCTTCGTAGAGCCTAGGCTTGCAACTGGCACAATACTGTTTCTGTTGCATGTTGTTGGCCAAAGAAAGTCCAAAGGAAGCCTAGATACAAGAGGAGGCGAAGTAGCCTCCATCCCTTGACCAATGGATTTAGAGTCACATTGCAAAGAGGCACAGATACAACCAGGGAAGTAATTTTGGTCATTTTTGCCACAGTCTCTCTCATTGAGTACCCTTGATGAGCATGGTTTCTGGAGTTGGAGGTTCGGGAAGCCCAGCTGGAGGGAGTGTAGGAGAGAATGGGAGGAGTGGAAGGGGAGTCAGTGACAACACATTCTGCTATGAGGAGATGTAAAAGCTAGAATAGGGGATAGTCTGGATGGACTTTTTAATTATGGGGCACACTTTGTATTGAAACCCTGACCAGGTGGAGGAAGTTAACTCTGTGTTGCCTGCAAGCATGTAGACCTCAGACCAGTTGGAACCAAAAGGTTGATGTTGATTCCCGGTTACTCACCATCAGCCAATCCAAAGAATGTCCATGAACTGATCATGCACTCCCACAGCCCTCTCAGCACGTAGCCCCTTCCTCTTTTCTTCATATTACCTCTGAACAAAACCTAAAAAGTCAGGTATTGGTTCTTCGGGACATGAGTTTACCTTATCCCCAGGATTGCCAGCTTTCCCAATAAAGCTATCTTTCCTTTTATCCAACAGATGTCTCTTAATATTGAATTCTTAAACGATGAGCAGTTGAACCTAAGTTTGGTGACACAAGGACTAGGACGAGGCCACTCAAGTGTGGTGTGCCTTTGTTACTGCTGAGATAAGTACAGAGATGGAGAGTAAGCATTTAGAAACTTCTAAAGCAAATTGAAATAGTAATTTTATGTATGTTCACTCTAATAATTAAAAACAAGCCTTATATTCTGTATTCCTTTTCCATTTATTTTTATCGTTTTACAAAAGATTTGGTCTATGATGGATTGGATTAAAAAAAAAGGTTCTTCCCTGTAGACAGCTTCAGAAGGATTGATTTATAGTGGGATCATAGGAGTGGATGACTAAGCTAGGATGGAAGCCAAAATCACTGGAGGTGAGAGGCAGGGGGCTAGGGGGCATCATCCAGTCAATGTTGAAGTCACTAAGAATGATGTCATGCATAGGGGGGAGGTGATTGATATCAGTGAGAATGCTCTTAGTGTTCAGAAGCCTGGAGAAGCTGGTCCTAAGGAGGGAGAATGGAGGCAAAACTCAAGTTTCTTAAGATCATGATATCTGTGATTTCTCAGAGAAAGTAGTATCCAAGTTAGCATGAAGCTTGCAAAACCTTGTGTCCAGTCATCACAAAGACCAGCCTCCTGTGCTTTCTCTAGGCTGCTCTATTCCCAGGAGAGCCACCCAAGTACCTGACTTAGGTAGAAATAGAAAGCCAATGGGTGCAACCCCAGCTGGCCCGTGAAGGCAGGCTGAGTGTGTGGCTTGGGCTTGGAGGCAACTCTTATAAGGGGAGGTACCCAGAGTCTCCAGGAATATAAAGCCCAACCCTTCCCAGTTGCAAGTTTAGGAGATAAGAGTGGTGCTAGGGCTGTGGGATGGGACACCTGGCTCATCAGCAGTTTCTGATTTCGATAGAGTCAGTGGCATATGGCCACTGAGTCTAGAATAGGAGCCATAGGCAGTAATGGGTGAGGGTGGAGAAGGGAGGGAGAGGTACCTATATTGAAGTATTTCCCCAAGCAGAAGAGGAAGGGCAGGGCCTGAATCCTTGGGTTCCCCATCGTGTGGGAGTCACTGAAACACACAAAACCTGGTCAGACATTTACTGGGGCAGTGGAGCCAGTTCCCCACTCTATAGCACTCTTAGACTGATAGGATTTCAATGTGGAACTCTGGCTGATTGAAAGTGCCTCCATACTGTGCCTGTGAAACATCATTGGTCTGGAAGGTGAAGCAGCTCTTTGGGGCTTGGAGTATGCAGATAGCATTGCACACTTGGCAGTAACGTTGATGGCACTGCCACATGCGAACCCAGGACTGGAGCTTGACTGCCGCCTGCTCCTGGACTACATAGTTCTTCAAAATGGCCTGCCGCTGCTTATGCAGCTGCTTCCACACAAGTGTTTTCCACCAGTACTGAATCATCCAGGCCCTGAGGGCGGCTGCCAGCAGGGTCCTACGCACCAGGGTGCCACGCCACCAGGCCTGGATCTTCCCAGCCGCCTTCTCTCTTGCTCTCTGACGTTGTTTGGCAAGAAGCAACTAACCAAGCAAAGCAGAGGACTCCCAGTGAATTTGTCACCATCAAGCACAGCTCTAGTGTCTGCCCCAGAGGACTTGATCTACCCTCTTAATAGTTGGCCTTTCCCCTGTTGGTTCTGAGGACCCAGGAAACCTGGGTGGGTTCTTGACTCTATTTCTGTCTTGTCTGTGATCATGAACACATCTGCTCATGCTCTGGGTCACAGAGTCTATGTCCATAAAATGGAGATAGGCTTCTTGTCCTGTGGTCTTCACAGGTTCTTGGAATCAGTGGAAATGATTTCTGACCCAGAAGACCTCACTTGCATGTAAGGAACCAAATGGTCCTCATGAGGATGAACCTCTGCATTTATAGCTTGCATCTCAGCCCAAATTCCAGCCCATGATGCTGACTCCTGATGCCTCATACCATGTCATAGCCCCTTGGGGTCTCCCCCCAGCTTATTTCTTTTGATGTCCACTGCTACCTCTCAGTCACCCTCATATCCTTCTAGGCCCAGGCTGCTCTTTCTCCAGCTCTCCAGTTCCCCCTGTACTGCATCCCACCTTCCATGTTGCCTGTGGGTATCCTGATTCCTCACTTCTTTATCCTTAACACAGCTCACCCAGAGTAGAGAGGATATTTACAAGAACTGGAGGGCAATACTGAGCTGACTCTGGTGAGGCTAGAGATGGAGTCTCCACTTCCAGGGACTCTCGTGTCAGAGGGCAAATGATCTGTGGGTCTCTCATGCTCCTGGACCCCACCTACCTTCTGCCTCTCTCTCTCTGCTGCATCATCATCTGGAGCAGATTTCTGCAATAAGAATGTAGGGAGATACCAAGTTACCCAGGACATTTTTCACAGAACTAGAATAAGTAATCCTGAAATTTAAATGGAATTACAAAAGACCCAGAATTGCCAAAGCAATGCTGAAGAAAAAGAATGAAGCTGGAAACAGCTGTCTCAGATTTCACACAATACTACAAAGCTATAGTAATCAAAACAGCATGGTATTAGCACAAAAACAGACATGTGGATCAGTGGAACAGAATAGAGAGCCCAGTAATAAACCCACACGCCTATGGTCAATTAGTCTTCAACAAAGGAGGCAACAATATACAATGGAGAAAAGACAGTCTCTTCAGCAAGTGGTGTGGGGAAAACTGGGCAGCTGCATGTAAATCAATGAAGTTAGAACCCTCCCTCACTCCATACACCAAATAAACTCAAAATGGCTTAAAGATATAAACGTAAGACAGGACACCATAAATCTAGAAGAGAACATAGGCAAAACATTCTCTGATATAAATTGTATCAATGTTTTCGTGGGTCAGTCTACCCAGGCAATAGAAATAAAAGCACCAATAAACAAATAGGACCTAATTACACTCAAGAGCTTTTGCACAGCAAAGGAAACCATAAACAAAATGAAAAGACAATCTACAGAGCAGGAGAAAATATTTGCAAATGATGCAACTGACAAGGGCTTAACTTCCAGAATATACAAACAACTCAGTAACAAAAAAACAAACAACCCAATCCAAAAATGAGCAGAAGACCTAAACAGACAGTTCGCCAATGAAGGTATACAAATGGCCAATAGGCACATGAAAAGGTGCTCAACATTGCTAATCATCAAAGAAATGCAAATCAAAACTACCATGAGGTATCACCTCACATCAGTGAGAATGGCCATCATTCAAAAGTCCACAAACAATAAATGCTGGTGAGGGTGTGGAGAAAAGGGAACCCTCCTATATTGTTGGTGGCAATGTAGTTTGGTGTAGCCACTATGGAAAATAGTATGGAGATTCCTTGAAAAACTGAAAATAAACTTGCCATATGATCCAATAATCCCACTCCTAGGCATATATCCAGAGAAAACTCCAAGTCAAAAAGATACATGCACCCCAGTGTTCACAGCAGCACTATTTACAATAGCCAAGACATGGAAGCAAACTACATGTCCATCGACAGATGATTGGGTAAAGAAGGGATGTGTGTGTGTGTGTGTACGTACATACATACAGTGGAATATTACTCAGCCATAAAAAAGAATGAAATAATGCCATTTGCAGCAACATGAATGGACCTAGAAATTATCATAAGTGAAGACAGACAAAGACAAACATATATCACTTATATGTGGAATCTAAAAAAAAGACCCAAATGAACTTATTTACAAAATAGACTCAGAGACATAGAAAATAGACTTACCGTTACTAAAGGGGGACTGGGAAGGAGAGGTATAAGTGAGGATTTTGGGATTAGCAGATATAAACTACTATATACAGAATAGATAAACAACAAAGTCCTACTGTATAGCACAGGGAACTACATTCAATAGCTTGTAATAACCTGTAATTGAAAAGACTATGAAAAAGAATATATATGTATAACTGAATCACTATGCTATACAGCAGAAACTAACACAACATTGTAAATCAACTGTACTTCAGTAGAAATAAAAGAAAAAATAATGTAGAGAGAAAACATGAGTGAGGATCAGCCTCTATGCAAAGTCCTCATAGCCCCAGCTCCCGATTCTTTCACTGGGTCCTCTGAAATCATCTGCTGTTTCTCTCGGCCATGGGGCAACTCCCCACCCCTGGGGAAGGGAGCGTCTAAGTCTTACGCAGCATTTACTGCCCATGGTTTGGGGGCAGTGTTTCAGGTGTTCACACCCCCCTCTGGTCGCTGCTCCATTGGCCCTGGCAGAGGCAGGAAGGATGGTAGATGAGGAGATAGTCACGATGTCACAAGGGCAACTATGACTCAGGAACCATATTGACTTCTCCGGTCTCAAAGTTGTTGGATAAAGTGGAAACACACCTGCCCATTTCCCTCCTGCCAGGGATGGACAAGGGTCTTCAGTAGAGCCACAGCCCCAGAAGGTCTGCCTTGTCCCAAGGATGTTCTCTGGTCTTGTCCACCCACAAGACTGTCCTGTCTGCAGCCACTGAGTAGAGCAGCTCATATGATGCAGAGGAAGGTGCGTGGGCTCAGGCTGTCGCCCATGCCCATCTGCTTTGTCTGCCAGGGTGCCCTTCTTCAGTGGGTGAGAAAGTCCTTCCTTTAATGGGGATCAGCGTGGGTATGGAGGATGACGAGAAGGGGCCAAGGAAGGGTTGGTGTGGATGTACCTCAGCCAATTTCTATTCCCTCCCTCCAGCTGTAGTAATCCCCTGTCTTTCTGAAGCTGTTTTGTTGCATTTAGCAAGACAATACATGTTCCTTATAACAAAACAAGTCCTTTCATCCTATGTCTGAAAGTTAGTGAGCTGGAGGAATTTCCCAAACATGAGTCATTACCTAGGAGATAGAGATAGCGTCGCTCCCTATCCTACCCCCCGCCCCCACTGTGGAGTCCTCTGGTTGTGGCAGTGGTCATATTTTAGAGGAGTCAGTTATCCAGGCTTGCTTCAAAAACCAGCTGTTTTCTGTCTGTCTTGACGGACACTTCCCAGCCACATTCACTTTCTCTTAATGGACCCTGGATAGCTCCCTCTAGATCCCAGCAACACGCTGACACTGGCATGGCCTCTTTATTTGAAGGCATTATCTATCAACTTCTCACTAAAGAAGATGTGGATTTAGCTTTCTGCCCTACTCAAAACAACCCCACTTTCCCCTCCCCTCTTCCTCCCCATGAGGTTTTTTGCAGTTGAGGTCCAATCATGATTTAATGTTTACATTTTCTTGACTGCACAGGTGCCACGACACTGTGCCATGGAGCACACTCTGATTCCCTTTCTTTCCAGTTTCATAGAAGCTCTTTTTATTACCAGAATGTTTAAAAATGTGCATAATCGGACAACAGATAATGACTCCATATGTACTCATGACCCAGCACAACCCGTTTGTCTCCTCTGAATTAATTTCTGAGTGACCTCCCATGATTGTCTACAGCAGTCAATGCTGCAAGGAGCATTTTCCTCTCTTTGCAGCTGTGGGAGGTGTTTTCCAGGAACACACACGGGGTGGCTTGCTGAGTCGGAGGACAGGTGGCTCCTCCATGCCACTAAATCCTGGCAGATTGCTCTCCACAGTGGCCGCACCAGCACCAGTCTAATCTCTGTCAAACACTGACTAATTTTTCCTGAACTGAAAGATGTCAGGTGGTATCGCCTTGCTGTTCTAATTTGCATTTCTCCGACCAGAGACTTGAGCAGAGTGTGATTCTTAAGGGTGGGTACCTGGGCTCCAGTCTTGACACAGACTCTTTCTGGCTGTGTGAATTTGGCAAGTCTTTCAGCCTTTTAACGTCTGTTTCCTCCTGGGTAAAGTGGAGATAGCAACATAGTTCCTCCATCATGGCGCTGTTGTGGTGACTCACGCAGGTGAAGTCCTTGGAATGGCATTGTGTTCCCATACTTCTCCGTGTCTTTTAGCTCTTGTGATTACTGCATCTTGGCCATTCGGCATCTGTGTAATTGCCTGATCCTATCCTTGTCCTCTTTTTCTATTGGATTCCCAGCATTCTCTTGTACGACTTCCTTGGATAATCCTTTGCTGGATAGAAATGTTGCAAATATCCCTTCCCAGACATCATCTGCCTGTTAACTTTTTCCATGATGTCTTTCGTTGCACAGATATCTTTCCATTCATTTCCCCCTTTATAATCACGCTTTCCCATCCAGGGTCACGTATTTTTTTCTATTAGATTCTCATGTATGTTTTACATTGACATCGTCACCAAGTGCCAGAAACATGATCCTGTCCAGTGTGTCTCCCTCTTTCTTGGATTTAGTCCCTGATTTTGATTGAGCACATCCTATCATAGTTTCCTAAGGAAAGGTGCATGGATGTGCATTTGTAGAGAGTTGCATGTTTGAAAATGACTTTATTCTACTCTCAAGACTGATAGATGGTGTTGCTTTAGTATAGAATTCTAGATTGAAAATCGTTTTCCTCAGAATTTTGAGGACTTTCTTCCAGTTTCTTCTAGAAGTCTATTGCTACTCTGATTCTTTTTGTCCATTGGATATGACCTATTTTTTCCTCTCTGGAAGCTTTAAGATCTTTTCTTTATCCCTGATGTGAAGAATTTATTGTTGTTTCAACATATATACTTACGTAACGAGTACACCATTCTATCCAGGTCTTAGATTTGAGGCTTCAATCCTACTCTCTAGAAACAGCTGCTGCACCTCCCCTGACAGTTCTCTCAGCTAACCATCCCAGGTCCCTCATACCCAATAAACATGTTGTTCTCAACGTCTCCAAGATTTTTCTCTCATTCATTATGTTAGATGCTCCATTAGCCTTTTAGTTTAGAAAATTCATGTCCTCCAACTCTGGAAACCTTTATTGTATTAGTTAAAAAATAATAATTTCTCCCCTTCAATTTTCTCATTTTCATATATAAATCCTATTAGTAAGATCATAGATTGATCTTCTAATTTTTCAATATTTTTGACATTATTTTCCAACTCTGTATTTTTTGTTCTATTTTTTGGAAGATTTTCTCCATTTTTAAATTTTTTTAAAATTTATTTTTTTTGATTCTCTCCATTTTTAAAAGAATCTTAACTTTCAAGAGCTCTTTCCTGTCCTCCAAATATTCTTTTCTTTAATGGGATACTATTCTTATTCCATTGATTTATCATCTTATTAGTCTAGAATATTAGTTACAGGTTTTTTTTTTTAACATTTTTCTTCTGTTCCCAGTATTCCCTCTATTTCTTTTCTGGTTTTGTCTCAGTCTTTCATGTTAGAAGATTTATGCAAATTGTAACAATTTACATTGAACGTTGCCTATTTATGTGTAAGAGAAGAACACTAAAAAGTCCAAGGGAAGCTCGGCGTGCCTGGGTGGGGCTTACTAATGCCGTTCAGTATAGACTCATAAGGCATAGCTGGGGTTTGCTTCAGTGGGGGAGAGCCTAGCCATCAGTATTCATTTGTCTTACTCTTTGGAGCTTGTGTAAGGTTGCATGAGTGGTCTTATATTCACACCTTCTGCTGTGGGACTTTGAAGTTTCTTCCCATAAGGGAACAGAATCCATCTTCCTGTGCCTTGGGTTTGGCTACGCGACTTGCTTTGGCCAGTAGAATGAGGTAGAATGATGGCATGCAAGTTTGGCCTTGGCTTTGAAAGGCTTTGCCCATTTATGTTTGCCCTTTTGCACTTCTGCCATTGGCAAGACAAGAAGATGCCCGGGTAGCTTGCTGGTGGGAGGAGGAGGAGTAGCACATGGAGCACAGCTTTCCCAGCCAAGCCACCCCAACTGAATCTAGCCTAGGTCAACACACTTACTGTTGCATGCCACTGAGGCTTGTGGTAGTTTGTTACGCAGCATTTGCATAGCAGTAACGGACTGATTCCCCAGGGAAGGATCCCAGAACCTTGAGTCAGAATAGGAAAATGAAACTTGACTGCAGGCCTTCAGGAAGCTGAGCTGGCACAGAGGGCTGGAGGTCTCACTGTTCAGCCTGCACACTTCCAACCAGCCTCTCCATTTCAGTCTGGCACTTCGCCTCTGCCTTCAGCCTGAAATCCCTGAGTCCAGATGCTCTTTGGTTTAACTTATCCAGAAAATAAACCTCTTTTTTTGGCCAGGGTGGAGAAGAGGCTATTGCCCAGCTGTACACATGAAGGAGGGGAAATGGGGTAAAAGGAGAATTCCAACAAATCCTTAAATAAATGTTTAATCCTCACCTTAGATTCTTAATCACTGGTGCTTCACGTTCACACTTTGTTGTTATAGGTTTGTGATGTATTTCAGTGTGACTGATCATTCTCCCAGTCTCCTTTTTCAAAATTGTCTTAATTGTGGAAATTTATTCTTCAATATGATTTTTTTTGGCTTCAGTTTGCTGATTTCCCAAAAACTCCTGATGAGATTTTTATTGGAATTGCGTTTAATTTACAGATTACCTTAGAGATAATTGGCAACTTTACAATGTTAAGTCATTTTATCAATGACTATCTAGTAATTTTTTCCTATTTATTCAGGTCTTCTTTTATGTCCTTTTGTGCTGTGGACAAAAGTGGCATGCGTGACTTCAAGGATATGCCCTTAAAGAGAAGTAGCATGCCTTTCTCCTCCTCTTTCATCCTTGCTGGCTAGATTGCGGATGTAATTACTGATTCTGAAGCTGCCATTTTGGATCATGAAGTGACCTTAGGAACAGAGGCCACATAGAGCAGTATAACTAGTTGGAAGGGGCCAGGATCTGTTACCCTGTGGGGGCCACACGATGCCTGGAACACCTGTTTCTGAACTTCTATGGGAGAGAAAAACCTCCATTTGTTCAAACCAGTGTTACTTTGGTTCTGCTTTCATGTACAGCCACCACATCGTTATTAAACACTGCCCCAGGGATCAGCACAGTGAAGTTCTCTAAAATGGTAGCCACAGCATCACCTGGAACCGTGTTTGAAATGCTCATTCTTGGGAACCTGATATACTGAATCAGAAATGCTAGGTGGGGCCCAGAAATCTGCTTTAACGAGCCCTCCACATGATTGGGACGTATGTTAAAGTTTGAAAAACATTGCCCTACCTATTTCTCTCTCAGGTCCAGCACCCCTGATAGACTCTCTTCATGGGAAGACTGCCCACTTCCTTTAGAGGGCAGAGCTCAGAGGTTATCCACAGCACATAAGCTTCGCATAAATGGAGCAGAAGGCAAGAGAAGGACCTGACTGGTTTGTCTAGTCTTCATGCAGTTGTTTCTGGCTAATGGTTGCCCAAGGCTTCCTCCTGCTGACTTGTTGAACTAGGCAAATGATAAAACTCCACATTTGGCTCATACGTGACCAATCCATGATTAGATTCGCACTCAGACCATTTTTATTCTAGACGATAAGCTGATTTATTTATCAGTCCACAGCAGTTTCCTTTTTTTTACAACACTACATAGCATTACAAGAATGTCCTGGTCTTCTGGGCACATTAAATGAGAGATAATCCCATGTTTGCTGTCAAGAATTTCCTAGGCATACCTTCTGCCAAGTTTTTCATTCAAAAACCAATCTTTGGAAACCACTTCCTGAAAAGCAAGATACATCAAATTCAATCTCCTTTAAGTGTTTACTAATCAGCTGAGGTCTCCTGCTCTTTTGCTGTCTGTCTTAGCAAACTGACTTAAGTGAAAATGGAGGCTTTTTGGCTCACAAAACGAAGAATTCCCATAGTACAGTGGGTGGTAGCGTCAGACACGACTGGATCTAGAGGCCCAAAGGAATCCTTAGGACTTAGTTGCTTTCTTTCCATCTTTTGGCTCTACTTTCCTCTGTGTTGGCTCCATTCTCAGCCAGCTATTTCCCTGTGGTGTTCCGCAGCAGCTCTGGTTTCATAATTCTTATAGTCAGCAATCCTAGTAGTTCACCACAGCACCAGACTGAGTCTCATTGGCCTGGCTTGCATCGTGTGCAGATCCTGGAACCAGTCACTGTGGCCATATGTGTAAATTATTCTGACATCACTCTCACTACTTGTGCATCCTGGGCTGAGGCTTAAGTAAGTGCCTCCATCACCTGGGAGCAATCATGTGGGTGCCTTGCGTGGGGATTCTCTATCCCATCTCTGTGGAGCTATTAGGGATAAGGGGTGTCAGGGTTTAGAAGAGCAGATCTGTGTCTTAGGATTGGCAGGTTAAAGAAAATGATCCCTACTAGCAATTTACAGATGAGAAAATCCACTGAGTCAGAGAAACACACAGGAGACAACATTATAAAAGATGTAGGTAGAAGGAGGCAGAGACGGAGGGAGAAAGCTACTGTTGAAAATAAAGAGATCATTATAGATACAGTGAAAGACAAGATTATGAAGTGTAGACAGAGAGACAGCGTTGAAGACCAATGGAGATGGAGAAAAGTATGCAACACAGTACTGGAGAAATGGAGACACAATAACAGCTCCTCTTTCCACCACCCAGTGCATGTGCGCACGTGCACACACACAGAAACATTGGCAGAGAGAAATAAAAGTTCAAAGAGGTTGAGAAAGACATGTCTTTTGGGTATGATGGATCTGGGATGGTTGTCTAGAGAACCATTCATTCAGGGGTGGTGGGACAGTCATTTCGGGGAGGAGGATTGAACCATGATAAAGCCACAAACCCAGGGCTTGGATAGAATTGTGTATTCATTCATTACCTAAATATTTATTGAAACAACAAAAAGAAAACCAGAACCCAATTAAACATTTTTTCAAAACTTGAATAAATTTTTCTCCAAGGAAGATATACAAGTAAAGAGCAAGCACATTAAGATGTCCATCGTCATTCGTCATGAGGGAAATGCCAAACAAAACACAGCAAGACATCACTTGACGCTCACTAGAATGGCTAGATTTCTTGTGTGTGTGTGTGTGTGTGTGTGTATTTATTTATTGAAGTATAGTCAGTTTACAATGTTGTGTCAATTTCTGGTGTACAGCATAGTGCTTCAGTATACATGAACATACATATATTTGTTTCCATATTCTTTTTCACCATAAGTTACTAGAAGATACTGAATATAGTTCCTTGTGCTATCCAGTATGAACTTGTTTATCTATATTATATATAATAGTATCTGCAAATCTTGAACTCCCAGTTTATCCCATCCCACCCCCTTCCCCCTCTGGTAACCATAAGTTTATTTTCAATGTATGTGAGTCTGTTTCTGTTTTGTAAATAAGTTCATTTGTCTTTTTTTTTTAAATCTCACATATAAGTGATATCATATGGAATTTTTCTTTCTCTTTCTGGCTCACATCCTTAGAATGACAGTCTCCAGGCCCATCCATGTGGTTGCAGATGGCGTTATTGTATTATGTCTGAGTAGTATTCCATTGTATAAATATACCACAATGTCTTTATCCAGTCATCTGTCAGTGGACATTGAGGTTGCTTCCATGTCTTGGCTATTGTAAATAGTGCTGCTGTGAACATTGGGGTGCATGTATCTTTTTGAATTAAGGTTCCCTCTGGATGTATGCCCAGGAATGGGATTGCCGGATCATATGGTAGGTCTATTTCGTCTGTTGAGGAATCTCCATACTGTTTTCCAAAATGGCTGCACCAAACTACATTCCCACCAACAATGTGGGAGGGTTCCCTTTGCTCCACACCCTCTCCAGCATTTATTTATTGATTTATTGTTTGTGGACTTTTGAATGATGGCCATTCTGACTGGTGTGAGGTGATACCACATTGTAGTTTTGATTGGCATTTCTCTGATAATTAGCGATATTGAGCATCTTTTCATGTGTCTGTTGGCTATAGAATGACTAGATTTTTTTAAAAAGGAAAAATAAGAGTTGATAAGGATATAGAAATATTGGAACCCTTGTATGTTGCTGGTGGGATGTAGAATGGCTTAGCTACTAAGTATTTATAGTGGCATTACTCACAAGAGCCAAAAGTTGCAAAAGGTCCAAATATCAAGAATGTGTAAACAAACAGTGATATATCCATATAATAGTTATATACGCTACTACAGAAAGTAATGAAGCACTGAGGCGTGGTACATTGCGGAAGAACCTTGAAAAACATCACGTTAAGTGAAAGAAACCAGACGCAAATATTGTATGATTCCATTCATATGAAAAGACCACACAAGCTAAATATGTGAAGACAGAATGCAGATTAGTTGTCGCCATTGGCTGGAGGTGCAGGTACTGGGGAGTGATTGCTTTATTGGTATGAGGTTTTCTTTTAGGACAATAAAAATGTTTTAGAACTTGATATACATAATAGTGGTTGCTTAACACTGTGAATGTAGTAAATGCCGCTGAACTGTTAATCTTAAATAACGGTTACTATTACATAGCTAATCTAACAATGGTTAAGTGAATTATACTTATATCTCATATATACATGTACATGTATATGTATTTTATGTATGTGTGTATGTATATATATATATTTAATGTTCATTTACATAGATGGCACTGCCAAGGAGTTTCCCTGGAGTTGGTGGTCCTGCAACCCCAACTCTCCTACCCATGGCAGACATTACTAATCAATCCCAGGCCCCATTCATCCAGCCCCTGGCTCTCAGAATCCTCCACATGGGGCCCCAGACAACTCCCACTGCTTCCTCAGAGCTAACCTGTGAGATGCCCAGTATCTGCCGTCATTTACCCTGACCCCTCACTGAGATGAGGAGCTTGTCTGACAGAGACCTGGTGACACAGTTTTGGAGCCGACCTGATCAGTTCTTTATTGGGAAGGGGATGCAGTCTGTAATTCGACAGATCTGTGAACCCAGAAAGATCTCAAGCTCAAGTTCCAGCTGGCTCGCTGTGAGTTCGTAGCTGCCCTGGAAAAAGCCACGGGTATGGCAATTATGCCAGCGCCAGTAGACCTGGATGATGCGAACAGCATTGAGCAAACGGCAGTAACGGAGGCGGATGCGCCACATGCGGACCAAGGACTGTAGTTTGACCACTGCCCATATTTGCTGCGCATACTGCTCCAGCGCAGCCCGCCGCCTCTTCTCCAGCAGCTCTGCCAGCTTCTGCTTCCACCACCACTGAATGATACACGCTCTGAGCGCAGCGTGCAGCAGCGTCCTGCGCACCAGGACGCCCCGCCACCAGGCCTGGATCTTTATTGCTTGCAGCTCTTTGTCAGGGGGTGGCTTTTTCACTGGTGGTGGGGGCTGCAAGGAAAATGAAGAGACAGTCAGGGAACATTCCTCACCCACCTCAGCCCCGGCCTGAGCTAGGAAAGGGTTCTTATCCTTCATCAAGAATGGCCCCTTCCTCAGAAGTTCGGAAGCACTGGTCAGGCCCTTGGCTGGAGCCAGAAGACCAGACAGGTATCCTGTCTTCATCACTCTTGGTTAAAAGACACATGACATGAAACTCTTGAGTCTCAGAGACCTCATCTGAAACCAGGGGGAAAACCTGCCCTAGCTGTCACCTGGTCACGTGGACCTGGTTGGCCAGTCTACATAAGAACACCATGATCTGTGGGTCAAAGGTTTATCATTTCCTACCTGGGCCTGAGTACCCACCTGGGATGCATATCACTTCCTTCAGCCCTTGCCCACAGGCTGGACAAGGGGCATCCTTTGCTCTCCTTTCATGCCTGACTCCAGCTCCAGTGCACAGCCTGCGCCCACCCTCTGTCAAGTCATAGTGTCAGAAGTCTGCCTGTGCCGCACAGTTTGGAGTCTTTCTCACTTACTGCTCACTTTCACTTCTTTTCGTTCTCACACCTTCAACTCCAGTTAACACATGTACACGCACTCAGGTAAACACACACACACTTCTACATAGTTTTAGACTTGTTTCCCTGTACTTGACTATGCATCCCCTAAACACAGCCCTCAGCACCCCCTCCCCAGCCTGGCATGGTCTGATTCCCACTTGTCAGGGTTTCTCCTCCCCACGACCAAGTCTCCGTGTCTCAGTCACACCCACCCTTCTCAGACCGAGAAGGAACTGGAAAACAAGGATGAGTCAATTCCTGTTCATTCCAGGTCTGGTAGGACAACCTTTCATCCTGGTTGCCCTGGGACATTCTCAGTTGATGGTTATTTTTCCTGAGCAATAATTCATAGCACCATCTTTCACTCATGAATGTATCCTGCTTTGGGCGACAAATTTCCTGATCATCCCAAGCTATGGGCCACATAGAAAACAACCTGTCACTCCTGGGTGACTTTGATCAGACATGGTGCAGGTTGGGATCCCCTCAACTTTGAGGGCTTCTATCAGCCTACCTTTGGTGGAGGGGGTGAAGGTGGAGACTTCAGCTTTTTTTCCTTCTTTTTCTCTCTTATTAATGTGGTTTCATCAACATCTTCTATTACAATTTGACAAACATGGCCATCCTTCTGTAATCAGAGTTTAGAGGGGAAAGGTATGGGTAGGTTGTTGTCTGTAAACTCTGTGCCAAATCCACCATGTGCTCAACCTCCTGCCTTGCCCAGAGACCCTAGATGTAGGACTTGCATCCTTAATTAACTGTGGATATCCACCCTGCCTGCAACTTTGAGTAGACCTGCTGTCTCTTACACAACATCGAATCCCCATCACTTGGGAATAGATGGTTCAGATCCCTCAAGTCTGCGATCCTGTATATTTCCCATAGTTAGGAAGTAGGTGGCTCCATTGCTCTCAGGTCTGGACTCTGTCAGACAGAGCTCCAGCAGGAAGAGAGGAGGAGGGGAGAGAGAGATGATGTCATAAGGGCACCTGTGACTCAGGCACCAGGATGGTTCCCAACCACTGAGCCTTGTTGGTGAAAAGGCAGAAGTCCTGTCCATTCTTCCTGCCATAAATGACCAAAATTTGGCTAAAAGAGCAGGACACTGAAAATACTGGCCCATTAGCACGAAATTGTACAAAGTTAGTCATGTCTGATAACATGGCTGGTTGATAAAAACAAATTTGAGACAATTTAAACATCATCAATAGGGAGTTCAATTTTTGTGGATTTCAGTTCAATCAAACAATGGAACCAAATAATATTTAGAAAGAATGAGTTTGGAGCAAAATCTTAAACAAGTCTGCACAAAAGGAGATTTACAAATGGCTGAGAAGGACATGAAATGATGGCCAACATCAGTAGTCAGGACAGAAAAAAAATTAGAACCACAATGAGATATTTTCTAGACACCCGAGAGAATGGCTAAAATGAAAAATACTGAAAGCATTAAATATTGACCAGGATGTACAACAGCTGAATCTCTTACACTCTGCTGATGGGAATGTATGAAGCAGTAGAAATACTTTGAAAACTGGTTTGGCAGTTTCCAATAAAGTTAAGCATAGCTCTACTGTGTAACTCAGAAATTCTACTAGGTATTTACACAGGACAAATGAAAACATGTATCTTCAAAGGATTTGTGTATGAATGTTCATAGCAAATTTATTCAAATAGGTCAAAATTGGAAACAACTGAAATGTTCACCAAAGCTGACTAGACAAAGCAATTGTAGTATATTCATATAATGAAGTAATAAACAGTAATAAAGTGATGAAAACAAATATATGGGTGTATATGCATCAATGGGACACTGCTGTACACCTGAAATTGACACATTGTAATCGACTGTACTTCAATTAAAAAAAGAACAAACTACTGAAACATACAATATCATAGAGGAATCTCAAAAACATCATACTAAATGAAAGGAGCCATTAATAAGATGGTACTTACAAGATGATTTCATTTATACCAAATTTTACAACAAGTGAAATTAAACTAGGGGTAAAATAATTCAGAATAGAGGTTACATCTAGAGTAGACGTAGAAGACATCACCTACAAACAACACAAAGAAACAGAGAAATGTGCTGTTACCTTGTTCTGGGTGGTGCTTACTAGGCAATATAGAACTGTGAAAACTCATTTAATCATCTCCACTTAATAAAACCACAAAGAATGAGTTTGTTCTCTATGTACCCACATGGAAGGTAAAAGTAAAACAAATTGAACAATATGGTTCCTATCTAGGTACATATTTATATGGATGCATTATAAAGACATTATTTTTAAAAGGAGGCGATTAGGGAGTTACACAGTATAAAATTTAACAATGATCATCTTTGAGACTAGTGTAGTTGGGGAGACAGTAAACTCCTTCACTGTGGCTGAATCCCCTGTGTCTGGCTCATGTGCCAGGTACCCAGTTATCAGCTTCCTGGGAGAGAAATCCTGAAAACCCACGAAGCCTCCAGGGCCAGCTAGGGCCCCCATCTCAGGCTCTAGTGGCCTCAAGCACTCTTCTGCCTTCCTCTTTACATCAGGACCTCAAGGTCACAGTCAGGAGATGGGGATGGTCAGCCACTGCACAAACAGGGCCCTCCTCTGCCTATTTCTGGCCTCAGAAGACTCACCTGGAGCCACAAGGTCAGTGCTGAACAGAGAAGCCCTGGCCAAGGCCTGGGGGTTATTATTATTATTTTTTAGGTTTTTTAAAAAACTGGATTATAGTCAGTTACAATGTGTCAATTTCTGGTATACAGCACAATGTCCCAGTCATGCATATACATACATATATTCATTTGCATATTCTTTTTCATTAAAGGTGATTACAGAATATTGAACATAGTTCCCTATGTTATACAGCAGAAACTTCTTTTTCTTTAACCTATTTTTATGCATAGTAGCTAATGTTTGTAAATCTCAAACTCTCAAATTTATCCCTTCCCACCTCCTAAGGCCTGGGGTTATTGAGAAACCCTGGTTCTCTCTCAGAGTCACCATCCCAAGGGTCGGTAAGAAGCACATTTGGAGTGTGGAGGGTGAGTATGGGGGAGGCCAGTATGACAGAGGGTGTATAGAGAAGAGCAGGAGGCCATTTGTGTCAGTGTAAAGGCCGAGGGTGTCAGTGTAAAGTTAATGGAATGAAGGCAGAGGGGAAGGTAAGAGCGAGTGGGAAGACGAGCGAAGTTGTGGGTGCAGTGCATGGGACGGGGAAGGCTTGGGAAGCATCTGGAAATAAAGGTGTTAGACGATGCCAGGCTTTCATCTCTGGTTTTCTTTCTTAGTTTAGATCATGGCCCAGAAATTTTTTTATTATCTTATTTCTTTTCAATTCCTTCAAGCAGAAATTTAAAAAGAGATTTTGATCTGCTTTTCCAATTATTCTTAGTTATAGGATTAATGCTAATTACTTAGTACACCATTATTAGAAGTGGGGGCTTTCTCATTGGTAAAGGCAAAGTGTTTTTCCTACCACTTTATATTTAACTTATTTCCTTTTGTTAGGAAAATCCAGATGTGTCTTTTCTGATCCAGTAAGAAAGTCTATGTATTTTTAATAGATGAACACTGCCAATTCATATTTGTTATGATTTCTGTTATGCCTGGACATGTTGTCGTATTGTTTAATGGTTTCCATTTATCATCTTTTTTGTCCCTATTTTCCCTATTTTTGTTGGATTGGTTGAATTTTCTTTTAAATGTATTCCTTTTAGTGTTTTGAAGTTGAGACACAGTGTTAGTTGCCTAGCCAGGATTCATTTACTAATAGAACTGTGATAATTGGATGTGGAGTAAGGAGGAGGAAAAGGCGACCTGCAAAAGCCTCCTGAGCAGGTAGGTGTGGTCATGTGGCACTCACTGGCCAGTGAGATGTCAGCAGAAGTCATTCGGTGGGTTTTTTAGGAAAGCTTATAAAAAGGCTGCCTCAAGCCAGGAGGGCTTTTTTGCCCTTTGCCTTTATCTGTCTTCTTTCCTTCAACGTTCATGTGATGTCCGGCACTCTGGTAGCTATATTGAGAGTATGAGGATAAGGGTCCAATCATAAGCCTGGGAAAGGAGAGTGACAGAAGTCTGGATACTGGTCAGGGACTTCCCACATCTAGGTTTTTCCTATGTGAGACAAAAATAATCCTCTAATTTATTTGAGTCACTGTTGTCTAGGTTTCTTTCCAATTTGGATTCCTTGTGTTTATTTTGTCTGATTGCCGTGGCTAGGACTTCCAATACTTAGTGAAATAAATGTGGCAAGTGTGGGCATCCTTGTTTTGTTCTTGATTTTAGAGGACGTATATTGTGTATCCCTTAAATGCTTATTGTGGTTACAGATGGCTTTACGACTTTGATTTTAACCTTCCTACGGGCTCTACAAGTGGCTGATCTTCTACCTTTACTGTATGTTTGCCTTTACCAATGAGATTTTCTTTTGTAATTTTCATATTTCTAGTTGTGGCCTTTTGTTTTATATTTAGAGAAGCCCCTTTGACATTTCTTGTAAAGCTGGCTTCGTAGTGCTGAACTTGTCTGTAAAATACTCAGGCCTGCTGTTCATGCCAAACCCGCTGCCTGCTCTATCGTAACCATTTTCAAGTATATGGTTCAGTGTTACTCATATGTT